CCAATAGAGAAATAATAGTGCATAAGTTGTACAATATTATTGAGATAAAGGACAAAATATACAAAATTTGACCATTTTGTATAGCAGAACCTACAATTTAAGTGTATTATGCAAACTATCTTGAAAAAAATAATAATAAAAAAAGTTAATAGTCATTAAGGTTTTGCTTCAGAATTAATAATTATGTGCGGATATCAAACATAGTCCAGAAATCAACTAGAATGTGTCCGTCATCCTTGTGTTCGATACCACGGCTCGATACTGCTCGGTACCACTCGGTGAATTTGTGCATTTTAATTGATCTACGTATGTGACTGGTTTTCGCACAGAATAATCTACTGCAAACGGCGCCGAATGTCCTTTCAGGGAAAAATTATTAGGTGCGAACGGATGAGAATCGTTTGCAGAGACACAGGGTATCAAGCACTACCACTGGTACCCAGTGGTACCACTCGGTACCGAGCCGAGTGCAATTTTATAGTAGTGTGCAGAAGATTCTTCCGCACTCCGTACCTAATAATTTATCCCTTTCAGGCGTGCCCGTAGATCGTCTCGACCCCGCTCCCGCTCCCGCTCCCGCTCCCGCTCTTGTCGTTAAAAGCCGACCGAATGAAGGCATTGGATTCTTCTTCTTCGCTTCTCTCACGCGAAAACCCCAAGCCGCAGAACTTCGTCTATCTTCCACTCACGAAGTCCTGCTATCAAACCTCTCAGACAGCTCGCAAAACCTCCGAACCTTCCTCTTCCATTCGCTGCTTCCGAATTCTGCAAACCAAACGACCTCCTGCCCGAGCCCCTTCGACCGGAAACACCCATAGGCGAAGACCTCTACTCTTCTGATCCCCTTTGACCTTGCCTCTCCATCCCACAGCCGCTCCAAATCCCTCAACCGACTTCGCCTCTTGCCGTTGTAGCCGTCCATCTCTTCCCTCTCCACCTCCTTTGGCTGCCGAACTCCAATCCCTCCGACCCCAGAGCCGCCTGATCCACCAACGTGCCCTAGCCGAGCATTACCTGCGGCCGAATCGAGACAGGGTAATACCTCTCTCATTTTTTTAAATATCTATTATTATTATTAGTGTTAATATTAATGTTAATGTTATATTATTATTTATAATAATATCACTATTATTATCATTAATGTTGTATAATAATAATATTATGATAATATAATAGTAAATCGGTACGACGCTTGCGACGAGGCCGGTAAGCCTAGGAGAGCTCATGTTGCGTATGAGGATGAAAATTAAGTACCTTTAAGTGTTCATGTAGTGTAGAATTTAAATGATTAATAAATATTTAAAACTTAAATGAATGAACTCAAACAAGATTCGGACTTGAACTTGATTCGGACAACAGGGAACCTGCACAGTACACAATGAATTGAACTCAAATGACTTTGAGCTTGACTTGAATTTGGATTTAAATAAAATGAACGATCAATAAAAAAACTGCTTTAAATAATAATGCCAAATTTTTAATGAAGGTTGAGAAATAATCACTTCAATTGGAATGCAAATGAAGATTACAAATAAATATCAAACTCATCATACATGTTGAACCATCTTTGAGGACAAAGAGCTTGCAAGTATAATTTGTTTGCATGCAACAAGAAGATTACAAAGTCATGACACGTAGCCTTTTACAAATGCACAATGCGACAAATGTAATGTTGACTAGTAATAACAAGGATGTTATCAGTCATGTCATAAGTCATAAGTGAAAATGGCAGGATCACAAGTACAACAGGAGAGGTGTAGAGGAGGTAGCTGTCTTTGTTATCAATGAGGATTAATGCACAAACGAGCACATAACAATACACTCACAATCGAGAATAATAGGTATGCTATAGGATCCTTGGTTTATACATAACCAATATGAAATGTGTGGTGTTCATATCAATCAATCAACAAGCTTGTATATTACAGATCAGAAATTCCCTAATGAAGAGAACTATTGGTGGACGTAATGATTGATATGCAAGGAAGATGATACTCTGTCAATAAAATATACTTAAGACGAGTATAATGAACATGGCTTGTTTGGAATCAGTGCGAATCAACTTGCAAATGAATTCATCAAACATCTGCTAGACAATTGAGCTCGATGTGCAGTAAATGCAGTGTCGACATCCATATTCTCGTAAATGACGACGACCCACACATGATTGTGAGCGTGAACACAAGATTTTAATTAAGGGACAAGTGATGATCAATATACAAGTAAATACACCGATCTTCTACAACGTAAGATTAATGTGCAGCAGACATGGCAACACTTGTGAATGATTGTATACAACAATGAAGATCAATTAACCTGCAACAACATTTGTACCACTCACAACCATGCAATGTCAAGCAAATAAAAGATTATAGTTTCTTACAAGTTCTAAAGATTGATGTATTATGAGTATAGCAAGTCGCTAGCTAATATGCACAAGGAAATTGTCGATGAGTATAACTCAGTCGGCAGTTAACATCAAAATGCAAGTAAACACGTCAAGCTGTCTATGAATAATAACAGTGAGACGTGGTGTAAGTACAATGCATCCTGTGCAAACACTGATAAGGAGGTGCAACAAATACATCAACCCACATATAAGCTGTTATAAAGGACCATCATTCATAAATTGATTTATTGGAGAAATTTGCAATGACAAATGAGCATTAGTGAACTGACGAAGCACACCGAAATATACACGAGTGAATGCAACAGTTCATCAATCGACGTGCAAAATGAGGCCGATGACAAATGCAATAACTCATCAATCAACAAAAAGAAAAGAATCAACGATGAGTGACATTCATCTGACGACAAGTGTTAACTACAAACGAACACACATCCGCTTGCGAATGACAACACTGATAGTTACTTCACAAATATAACCAAAGAGGTTGCAAAGAATACAATAACACATATATAAGCGAAGCATGAGAGTTATGCAAAGAAGGGTGCTAACCCTCTATGGTTCATATCAACCTGCCTATGAACAATGGAAGATGACTTATAACATTCACATCAGTCATGCGAACAAATGCACCTGTCCCCTACAGGTAGAAGAATTTGACATGCAGTGAGCATAATGATATGATGCATTTGATAAATCTAAAATGAATGGAGTCTACATACAATTAACGTTATTCAAAGCACATTAATTCGTCAACAAACAATAGGCCGTGAATGTCATAATCTCCTTACGACCGATTGCAATTAGCTTGTAGCCTACCATTATGGCCGTGAAGTCCAACGACAGTCGGTTGTTGGGAAGAGATCTGACGGCTGTCAATAGCAAGAGATTTGGTGGTGGTTGACGAACATGCGAAAGTCCGACGACGATCATTGGTCGAGAGGAAATCCGACGGTGGTCAACAACAAGAGATTCGACGGTAGTCAAGGAACATCTGGAAGTCTGGCAAAGGTCGGTGGTCAAGAAGAAATATGAGGGTGGTCGACAGCAAGAGATTCGACTGTAGTCGACGAATAGGCGAAAGTCTGATGATGGTTGATGGTCAAAAAGAAATCTAACTGTGGTTGACAGCACAAGTGCTCCTAAGTCTTCTTCTTTCTTCCTCCCCCTCTCATGTGAAAAATGAAGGTTTTATTTATACTTTTTTGGAAGTGGCATGACTATTAAATATGGAGAAAATCAGGGGCAAGTTGGAAGTGTTCCAATGGACGATTGATATCAACTTCCTCGATCATGGATCATTTATCAAGCATTTAAATGCCTTAATGATATCAGAGTTAAATGATCTTGGGCTCGTTGGATTTGTCTGGTCGAGCCGATTGATTCGAATTTAAGCATGTCATATTCATAGATCATTTGATTATTCAACTAATACTTTGAAGTTTCCAAGTATGCTTTGGCCCCTTGATTTGGAACCATTTGGGCTCGGATTGAAACAATCTTGGTGTCGTTGGGTTCGTCTCTTCGAGACATTCAATTTGACTATAAGTGTGTTGAAATTGGTGTTCAGATGATCCTGAATTTAATTTTAAAATTTTTCAATTTGAATATGCCTCGAGATTTGTATTGGATTAAGGTAGTTTTTGGTGGCGTATAATTTATCCCCATATTTATGGACGTCAAAACTTACATAATCCAAAAATATATTTCGAGTATGTTATCCGTCGAAACGCCATCCACCTTTAAGCTATAATAGTGCTGCTGCCTGTTAGTTTTATATAGGTTATGACAGGTATGATGCCCATTCATTTATTATAGCCCTATCCGAAAATATGTATCTCTTAGATTTGTTGACGTTTTCACTGTGTTATTTTTTTGTAAATTGTAGTATGTTTTATTCTAAACGTTTTGACTATAAGAAGTTGAAATTTTAATGGATGATTTTTTTCTGTGATAAATTTTGGGTATATTGAATAAATAAGACATTTTTGATATTCATAATAATTCTTTAAAAGTCTTAAAACACTGTTATGGATATTCTTTTGAAATTATAAGTGAAATGGAAAATGTTCAATGGGTAGGCTTTTACACATACAATGTTATCACATTTTGGAATTTCTAGTAATTTATGTATCATCATATTCATATTTAAAGTCATAATTATCTAATGTTACATTCAAATTGCACAATTTTTCGCATGGCATGGGAGGCTTTCCATGGTATATCAAACAACAAATATAAAAGTAAAATGTATACCATCAGATATTTTACTTAGTCAGAGGTGAACAATGATGGACTCAATCAAGATCTCATGGTGTACAGCAAAAAAATACAAAATAAATTTTTGAGAAATTTAAAGTACCCAAAATCTATTCTTTTCTACTATTTAGAAATCATTCAAACCAAATGATTTTCCAATCCCACACTGCACCCACTCTCAATTATGGCCTGTCATTGCGACCACCCACACGTACGCACATTCTCATTGTAATACTTTTGAAATATATTATAACAAATACAAAAAGTATTTCAATCTTTTTTTTTTCTTCCAACCAAGCACATTCAATTACTCTGAACATTTATTTAAAAAATATCCAACAAAACGTCATTGATTTCTTGCATTGTATTTTTAAAATTCATGCATTTTAAATAAATACACAGCCGCCTACTTTCTCTCCAAATTTCTTGGTTAGAATGTTTGAATTTCTTAAATGAACCCAAATACATATTTATGAAGAAAATAAAAATTGCATTCAATTCGCCATTTTTGTGCTAACGAAGTTCGGAATAACATCATAATAAGTTACTCAATAATGATTTCTGGCACTTGCATCATTCCATTTCCACAGCAGGTCTCTCTCCTAGAACACTCCTTCCTGTAACTTCTACAACACCCTCCATTCTCCTTGAACTTGGAAGCCAGCAAATTCGAGCATTGATGCTTCCCATGGCAGTCTTTCCTCTCACTTTCACAGCAACTGTCAGAAGTTTTCGTTTCAGAGCCGTTGCATATTGTTGAAGCTTTCAAGTTGGCCCCAGCTCCCACGGTTTGATCAACAAATGCATTACAACAGTTTTTAGTTGCATTTATCTTTAAGTTACAGGTAATGTCATGGTCAGAATGCCCATGTCTTGATTCTGCTTCATGCTTTCCTGATTCATGATGAGAGTGGGATCCATGATCAGGCTGTTTGCTTAAATGCTCTTCACATGGGCTATGTTCATTATGCTCTTCATGATCTGCTTTACTTTTGTGCAAATGAAATCCCGGACAAGGAACCGTATGTTTAATCTCTCTAACTGAATGATTTAAGCATGATTCATCATCTCTATGGGAATCCTTTTCACAATTCATGTAAATCGAGTGCTCATATCTAGTTTTTGCTTTGCAAGTCACTTTTCCTTGGCAGCATTGTAATGGTGATTCTGCTTGACACTCTTTACTCTCACTTGGACTTTCACAGCACGGTTTCTTGCCTTCTTCTGTCTTATGTAAACCATCGTAACTGTGACAATTTGCAGAGTTTGATCCACATGGACCTTTGGAGCACTTGTCTCTGCATGTTGGCCTTTGGTGGTTTGATCTTTGACAACATTTTTTAACTTTCTTCTTGTTCGTCGGCAATAATGTCATGCTGTTTAAAATGACAATTAGACATGTCCCAACATCAGCTAATACGGCTGCCCAAAGTAGTGGATGGCCTCCAATTGCTAATCCCAGAATGGAAACCTTTGTGATGATTGAGAAGATGATATTTGTTATGATCTTGTGCTGTGTCCTCCTTGCAAGTCGAATGGCTTTCGGAATTTTTTGGATGTCATTTGACATTAGAGTTATATGACTGGTCTCCATTGCTACGGCAGAACCTGATACACCCATGGAGATCCCTACATTGGCCATGGCCAACGCAGGTGCATCATTCATACCATCCCCTACCATTGTTGTTGACCCTTTATTTGTCTTGAGATCACTGATAATTTGTACTTTGTCTTCTGGTAATAATTCTGCATGTATTTCTTCAATAATATGGCCCAACTGCAAATTGGTTACATTCATTGGAAATTGTCATGTACCACTCAAACTTAAGGGAAAATTCTATAAGGTAGTGGTAAGACCTGCAATGCTTTATGGTGCCAAATTTTGGCCATTAAAAGAGAAGCATAATATTAAGTGTTGCAGAGACGAGGATGCTCAGGTGGATGAGTGGCTTTACTCTTAGAGATAGGATACAAAATTAGCATATACGAAGGGTTGGAGTTGCTCCAGTGACAGATAAGATTAGAGAGAGTCGCCTTAGATGGTTTGGTCACATAAAACGGCGGCCTTCTGATGACCCAGTTAGGAGAGTAGATGTATTAGATTTAACCTATGTTAAGAAGGGTAGAGGTAGACCTAAAATGACTTGGTTAGAAAATATTAGAAATGAACTTTCATTATTAGATCTAAATGAGAATTTGACTCTTAATCGGACACAATGAAGAAAAATGATTCATGTAGCCGATCCCACGTAGTGGGATAAAAGCTTGATGTTATTGTTGTATTGGAAATTGTCATGTATAAATTTTTATGTAAAGCTGAATTGACTTGATTAAAAATAGAAAATTTTCATTTAGAGCCATTTGTTCTGTTCTTTAGTTGACCTGAAGAATACTTGCTTGAAGGAATTTTTTAAGGAAAAGCAGATCAATTAGAACTTATTTTCTTCTATGTTTTATGTGTCAACAGTTATCTTGGATGTTTTTGCCCCTCTGTTTAGTATACTTGTTAACTAAAGATTCATGATGATAGTCAACAATATCACACATGCTTTCTCAAAGCTTTAAATACCTGTTTCTGAGCCTGCATGGCTGCTGTAGTGGAATCTCCAGTTAGCATTGCAGTTTTAATGCCCAGTGACTTCAATTCTTTAATACCCTCCTTTGCCCCAGTACGACAGGTATCAGAGAGTGCAAAAATTCCAATTGGCATGGCATCTAAGAGCACATAACCTAGTGTAACTGCTTCCTTCATGTCTTCTACATCGGGCGCTGAAAGTAGAGAAAAAAGCCACGAAATATTACTAGGCTAGTAATCAAGGGATATAGCATATTGATAGATTTGCATATTGCAAGAACTAATTCCTTGCAAGATATTACTTGAATCAGCAAAATTTCTACATTAGTCTATGAGTCAATGATTTTACCTGCAAGTCTTATGAAGGCAGTAAAAATTCATAATGCTCAATTATTAAACTTGTTTGTTTTTGTCTAATGCCATCATCATCATCTTGTGTAATCTTTTTCTGATTTTTAATCAAGGCTTCTTATTTGATCTTGTTGATAGGAACAAACTTTTGTGTATATTATTGATCTGTGAGAGGGACGATATATAGGAATATAAGTGTATACGGTCTAAAATAAATCATTGGTAATAATATCATAATTATGGAGAAATTATTACGTGCGGACATCGAACTCTGGAGGTCAATCAAAACGTGTCACGTCTCTCAATACACAGATGTGTATTGGTCTAGTACACAGTTGTGCATCAATACACATGATGTGGCATGCCCTAATTAGTCTGTAGATGCTGTTTGGCATCTATTCGTAATAATTGCTTCCAATTATGTGGATATCTTTTTGACATGTTCTCTTTCCAATATTAGGATATATAACAAACCAATACTCTAAATATGCTGGCACTCTCCTTGAAGATGGAGCTTATATTCATATGAGCTTTAGCTTCTTACATAAATAATAAAAAGATAAATGTCGGAGAGCCTTGATAAAGACATCCACCGATTGTTTGTATTAAAGGAGTAATCATTTTTTGTGTTAGCATATCATCTCATATGAAATAACATTATACTTCAATAGGTGTAATTAGTGAATAAAAAATAAGATTGCTAGCAATATAGATAAGAAAATTGTTGTTTTAATATAGAGACATAGGATGAATAACAAGGAAACAAAACTCTCCTAAAAGAGTTTGTAGCATTATCATTTTGCATACAAAATGAGCCATAGCCCTATATTCAACTTCATCACTCAATATAGCCACAACACTCTACTTCTACAACTGACCAAAATTCTTCTAGCAATGTAATGTCCTAAGATTTACTTCTTGTCTTCAACAGAGTCAATATAATCATCATAAGAGAATGCTCAAATTTAGTATATAACCACAATTTTCTTGGAGAGCTTTGTAGATATGTATATCTAAGAATTCATTGAACAACTTCTTAATGCAATTTTCTAAAGCTTTTGCATACGTTGGCTTGCTATGCTGACAAAGAATAAAATGTTTTTGCTCTGGGGGTAGTTAGATTCTACTTAACAACTAACATTCGATATTGAGATGGATTATAAGATATTCATCTTCATTATATGTGATCTAAGTCTCCATAGTGGGATCAACATGCTTTACAATTAAGGAGACTCGATTCCTCAAGAAGTTTAGCAGCATATTCCATTCAAGAAAGTAACATTTTATTTTTACTATTAAAAATTTAATTCTAAGTATTTGGATGATCTCCAAATCCTTAGTGATAAAGCGTCTTTGATCCCCAAATCTCTCCAATATAGACAAGTTCACATTGTTCATATAAAGGAAGACAATAATCTCATAAAGAACAAGAGTTGAGGGCTTTGGGGTGAAAGAGGGAGAAAAAAAAGAGTGTAATCTCATAAATAATTACATCGATGAAAATATATAATTATTATATAAATGGATTATAACACTGATAATCACTTTGAATACAGTAGCCAAAAAAGATATATTGAATAATACGCCGAGTCGCCGAGAGTCCATATGGCGAGCAAAACACATGATCAAAGTAGATACATTCAATGACTTTTGTGTAGAGGAAAAATAATTTGACCGGTGTAATCAAGTAGGATAAGAGACATCAAGTTGAGTGAACCAACTAAGAGAACTAATGAAACTTGACCATACGAGGTCATTGGTGCCATTAAAATTGATAGTGGTATTATGTTGATGGAGGGCTTCACATTAGGTAGAGAATTATGTGAGATAAAAACAGAGAAGAAAAAAAGGAGATCAAATCCTCGAGTACTTTGGAGTGTAGCAAGAGAAGATCAGAGAGCAACAAGTAAACATGCAAGGGATGATGACATGTTGCATATATGCTTATAGCATATGCAGGAACAATGGGCGCAAGCACATAGAGTTGCAATCTTGTTATTTTGTGAGGTTTTGTGAGTTATGGCGCAAGCAATCTAGTTAGCATGTGTGGTAGCATGCATGCAACATGCAAATATACAGGCTAGCATGGGTGGAAATTGGTGGGCATGCGAGTTGTATTGTGCAATAGTAGATCAAACAGGGCGACGGTGTGCATCAAAGCAACATGCAAGAGAGGATATGGTGAAGCAAACATCAATAGATGTGAGTAAGAATATATGATACACAAGCAACAACTGGCAGGCAGTGAGTCATAGAGCCGAAGATAGGTGGTGAGTCATAGAGAGGTGTAAGGTACAAAACACTTGTGTACCAAAGATGGAGATAGTTTATAGAATCTATAATGTCCCAGAATTGACAACATGCCTGGGATGGAAGTATTGAGATAATGTATAAGATTATTTAAGACGGAAATTACATTTTTCTATTTTTATACCATATTTTGAGGAAAGTAATTTTGTCTAGATTATTGATTTGTAAGAGGAACATATAGATATTCTTATAAGAGGATGTAATAATGAAGTAAATAATTGGGGATAATGCCCCAATTATGAGGATTTCTTTGTGTTATTCAACATTAGGAGACTTACCTAATAAATACGTTAATATTATCTTTACCTTATTTTTAACTGAAGAACTTACCTAACTTTTTTTTTTTTTTTTTTAAAGATTTCAAAAGGTTTATTCATGTTTAGAAGAAATCTATGCTAAAAATACTCCCACACATGTAAGTCAATGAAATGTTATATAAATTTATTATTAAGTGGATTATGTAACAGAGAAAAAGGTTAAAGTAGTCCCAGATTATGTATGGGGTATGTTCTAATTTCAAATTATTAAATTCTCCAATTTAGTCCCTTAACTCATAAATCTGATCTAAATTTTATTCAAAACAATCCAATAGAATGATTATTTTGAATCATATTTGAGTATTCAAGGGACAAATTGAACACATTAGATAGCTGGAACTAAAATAACCCTTTACAAATACTCTAGTGAGCATTTTGATTTTTTTTCTTTTATGTATCATATTAATATAGCCCTACAAAGCCTGATTACTGAGCATTAGTTCTCAAGATCTTCCTACCTTGTGTACATCCAGCTCGCCTTGCAATTCTTTTGTTTCCAATGTAGATTTTCTTCCCATTTATTTCACCAGAAACCCCCTCACCTGGGTAAATCTGGAAGTCATTTACATTCTTTGCCTTTGGTTCCATGGTGTTGAACCTAGCATAATCAACTAGTGCAGATGCCATTGGATGGTTCGATTTGCTCTCCAAACTTAAAATCCTGAAGAATTTGTCACTCTTTCTGTCAGTTAATAAATAGAAAATTCTACAATTAGGGTCATGAGATATTGAGAGAATGCTTAGAAGTATATGATAGTTTTTTGTTTGATTATACTAATTTGCGTAAGAACCCATAAACTTTACCAAGAAAGAAGTGTGTCCATGGTGACTTCAGAGCTTAATTGACGAAGCTGTATGACTGAAAATTCTCCTCTTGTTATGGTTCCGGTCTTGTCAAAGGCCACAACTTTTGATTTTGCTAGTTCTTCAAGAACATCTCCTCCTTTGACAAGAAGACCGAATCTTGCTGCTTTCAAGAGGGCACAGAAAGTGGCAACTGGTGTAGAAAGCACAAGAGCGCATGGGCATGCACTGACAAGAAGCACAAGTGCTAACTTGAACCAATGCTTCTGATCATGAAGACTCAATATAATTGGTAGCAGAGCAACTACTGCTGCAATGACCACCACAGCTGCATATAACAGATGTGGTTAATCAGAAAACTGCTTTAAGAAGTCTAAATTTAAAGTTTTTTTAACTAGAAAACTGCTTTAAGAACCAGTAAGAAAGTTCTCCCAAACAAACAACAACATCAAGCCTTTGTCCCACTACGTGGGGTTGGATACATGAATCCTTTTTCGCCATTGTGTCCTATTAAATACCACAATTTTTCAAATGATTCATGTCATGATTTTTTGATAAGTTTTACGCTGGCTTTCGACTACCTAACACAACCCTCCATTTTTCTCATTCAGGACTTGGGACCTGGCAACCGAAGTGTTTGCCATTAGTGGATCACTTTCATAGTATAATTTGAGAAAAAAAAGGAGAATTCATAGGAACTTTTGGAAGAAACAAACTTCTTTAATGTCATTAACTTCTGCTTTTATCACTAATAATACTATGTTTCCCAACGCTTCTCATATCACAATGAAAATGCTTCAATTCTTAGCAACTCATAGCAAACCTGGAGTATAGTATTTTGCACAGCAATCTATTATCCTCTGTGTCTTAGACTTGTTGTTTTGTGCTTCTTCTACAAGCCTTGCCATCTTAGCTACAGCAGAATGCTCAGCCAAAGCTGTAGTCTTCACACTAATGTAGCCTGCAATCATCTCATACTTACTATACAGCCAAAAAAAAAACATTTCAAAAGGAGAAGAGAGTATCAAAACTACAATGGAAGAGTATTTTACCATCAATATTAAGAGTTCCAGCCCAAACTAAGGATTGTAGCTGCTTGGCTACAGGGAAGGATTCACCAGTGAGGCTCTTTTCATCAACCTCACTTTTTCCTTCTACCACAATCCCATCAATGGGAATCACTTCACCAGCTTTAATTGCTAGGATGGTGCCCACTTTCACATCATTTGCATCAACGATTTGGTCTGTTTCAGCTAGAATGGCCTTTTGAGGTGCCAGATTCATCAGCAATGACATTCCTGTTGTTGCCTGAAAGGTAAATATTGGTCAGTCCGGTAGTTGTTTTTTTTTTTCTTCTTTACTTCCTGAGTCTTACCTTTTGGTTGGGAGCTTTAAGTATCAACTAAGACGTCTTAGATTCGAGTCTTACATATATGATGTGTGTATGAATTGATAGATTATTCTGTGCGGACACTGGACACAGCTTATCGTCTAGAGACGAATCAGGTGTAGCCACGTCATCCAGTACCGAGCTCGGTACGGAGCCGCGGTACCAAATAGGAGGTGACGTGACACATTTTCATTGGGCTTTGGACGGTGTTCGGCATCCGCACAGAATAATTCATAGTATGAATTTGTCTTAATTGATTTAAATTTCTCTAAAAAAGAAATTTGCCTTGACAAATAAATATATTATTCAATTTGGAATACCAATGCATGAAGAGGGAAACACCTTGCGGCTTGCCATGGATTCAAGCCATTCAGCTATGGTGAAAAGAAAGACTATAAAGCCGGCTTCTGTGTAGTCTCCAAGGGCAACTGCGCCGCCCACTGCCAAAAAGAAAGAAACCCATAATACTTTATTGTCAACATAAAACATTTTCAAAAGATTTACATAAATATCATACAATTTTTATGTATTTATCTCAACTTAATTTTTCTTTTTGGAACATTTAGATCAATTAAGACAAACTCACAAACACATCATATATGTAAAATTGAATCTTAGTTAGCAGTCAAAGCTCCCAACCAACAGACTAAAGTTTCGTTTGGGACAGTTTTCGTACTGCTTTTTAAAATGCTTTATAGTACAAAAAATTCAAATTTAAGAAATTTTTGTACTAAAAAGTTGTTTTAGAAAGCAAGAAAAAAGCTGAGGGACAGCTTTTGTATATACTGCTTCCTAAAATGGCTTATTAGTAAAAAAATATTATACTAAAAAGATATTTTATAAAGTAACAACAAAACTATCCCAAACAAAAACTAAGTTGAGTTGCTTAACTAAATTCTTATATTTTACTAATATAACATTCAATATAAGTTAATGCAAATATATAAAAGTGTAAGGGTATGCATGCAAGTCCTCTAATATTTTTATATCATCTCAGTAGTATAAAACTTTAGAAAGCTTTTGGGAAATATTTTTTATTAATTTTTTTTTTCCTATCATCCACTCAAGAGCTAAAGTTTCAAATGTCCTAATGGAATAGTGAGTCAACAGATAGGTCCAAACTTTCCTTAGTTTTATGTCCATACCCCCATTTAAATTAAAGGGGAGAACAGAGAAGGAACCTTTCCATATTGGAAGACACCATAAATACAATTATTGTAATCATAATTTAATTAATTATATCACCATCTCATTAGTGGGAGCATAAGAAGGTGATAAACATTTCTTTTTCACCATTATTAGAATGATGGCAGCCAAAGTGGTAATGGGAAGCAATCAATCATATGAAAAAAATATTAATTAGGTGCTAATTCATTTGCTAATTTGTTTTAAAGTGAATTAAATATATATTTTTATGGGCATCTTTTGATGTGATATAGATGTTGGGATATTTTATAAATAAATATAAAAAATTTACATGGTATATATGTAAATACGTAAAAATTCTATGATATATACGTAAATCTCCTATATTTTTATTATTTAGAATTGGAGCTTAAGGAAACTCGATAAATTTTCTAAAATTAACAGAATTAGGTTTCATTTGGGATAACTTTCTTACTATTTTTTACAACAGCTTTTTAGTACATAAATTTTTAGAAAGCAATGAAAAAATAAAGATCAAAAGCTGAACAAAGCATTAGTTTTCATACACATGCATACATATAAGTTTATATATGTAAGAATTGAAGTTTATACTTATTTATATAATATCATAGTGTCTAAATTAATCATATTAAAAAATACATTAAATGAAGTTGTTCATTTTAGATAATTTCATATTAATGATAAATAAATTTAAAATATAGATTGTTTTTACATAAATAAATATAAAAACTTATGTATTACATGTATAAATAAATAAAAATTTAGCAGTATATATAGAACCCTAAATAATAATATAATATAATGAAGAAAAGGATCAAAATGATATAAAAAAAAAAAAAGATAATGATCAAAATGATCTGATGATTGGATTATTTTGGTTCCTTTTTAAAGAGTTGAGAAAATGATCTTTTAATGTAATTAAGAACTATTTTTATCTTTCATAAAGAGTGAAAAGAGACCATTTTGATACTTTTCTAAATAAGTATCATTTTGCCTGCAATTCTATCTCTAATAAAGTAATTGATGCAAAAGACAATTTATAATAAGCAACCCACTTACTTTTGCTTTGTTTATGATGGCTTTCTAACTGCTTCTTAAAGTAATTTTTTAGCACAAAAAATTAAATTTTTGTACTATAAAGCTGCTTTAAGAAGCAATAAAAAGCTGTCATAAATGAAATATTTGTTGGAAGCTTTGGATTCGAACAAAGAAGTTCAGGGTTCAATGCTTAGCAGATTTGCATGCGAACTTACAATTAAGTTCTCTCGAAGGATAGTTTTTTTTATTGTAGATGAAAATATAAGTTCTCTTATAACAAATATAATTATGATTGATTATTTTTTATTCCTTAACAAATTGATAAATCATGATATGATGATCAAATTTTTTTATTAAGATAGAGTTTAAAGTCCCTTGGATCAACTTCAAAGTATGTGCAATACAATTATTTAAGTACTTATCTCAAAGCATATCTAATGGCTTGAAAGCTCAATGTATTTTATCATTTAGTCAGGTTGACTTAGCATAAAATTCCTCTATCAAATTCACTCAATGGGCTTTCTAATTACCATTATTCTTAGATTAACAAGTCAATAGCTCTATGACAACCCACTTTGAAAGTTAAACAAATTATTCAAAATTAGTTTTAAATTTAATTATCTTATATGATCATTAGCCATATGTTTAGCTACTAAATAAAATAATTAAATATTGAACATTTACATAAATAGTTGACTTTGAATACAATTTTTAAAATACTCATACAAAAGAACAAGCTTTGACTTTGTTCTTGCCAATTCTACATGAAATAATTTATTTTTAAAATAACAAATAATTATATTTATCCAATTTTAATTAAAAAATCTAATTTTCAATTAAAGATTCATTTGGGACGGTTTTCTCATTGTATCTTAAAGCAGCTTTTTGATACAAATATTCAAATTTTTATGCTAAAAAGGTGCTTTAAGAAGCAAGAAAAAGCTGTCCTAAACAAAGCCTAAATTTAATACAAAAAAATTCATTTCATTAATGCATTGTTAACATAGACCAAATCTAATACATCTACTCTTCTAACCTGATCATGATCGTAAGACCGGCGTTTATTTAATATGGTAAAATAAATAAAGAAAATAACAAAAAAAATACCTGCAATCAACATAAGAATGTTGATATCAAGAGTGTATCTTCGGATTGCTGCAAAGCTTCTTAGAATGATTTGTGGAAGGGCTATCAGCACTGCTGTTATGGCAATCCATTTAAGCGGTCGATAAAAGCTTTGAAACAATGATATGAGAAGCAGAACTCCACAGGCCAATATGTAAGGACTTGGCCATTTATTGATCATCTTCTCTGTTCCATATGATCTTATGCTGGCCTCGAGCCTAGCTTGGTTTAACGCTTTGACTATGAAAAAATGGTAAATAAATAAACAAATGAATATTTGTAAGAAAAAATGTAAAAATAGATGCATGATTGATACTTTTTATTTTAAGTATTTAATAAGCTGTCGTCTGTGATGGATTTTTTTGTTTTTTGTTTTTAATTATTTATATTTTAATATGAAATAAAAAAAGTTTGATTAAATAAATAAGAAGGGGGCATTTTTATCTTTAATTAAAAATTATTATAACTATTAGTTAATAAATTGCTAATCACTAGACTTGCACTTATTCAATTCTATAATTATTGAATTTTAGCTGAAGATGAAAATAACAATGTTCCATTAATGTGTGTTAAGCTGTTAATTATAACTTAATAGCGTCATTAATTAGAATAAAACCATATTAGTGACAAGAAAGTGGAATTTGGCAACATACAGGACATGAGTTGTAGGGTCTCTTATTTATAAAATAAAATAATGATGTCTTAGGTACATTTGTAATTTTTCTCCTTTAAAAACTACAATTTTTTTCTTTATAAAATAAACACTTAAATGCTTTTTTTATTTATGATAAGATTAATTAAACTAATTTAATACAACAAAATTATCAACTTACATTCTAACAAAATTGCAAATTTTAAATATTTTTATTATATCACACACAAATATATAAGTTTGAGAATTCAATTTATACATATTAATTTATAAATAAATAAGATTTTAATATTACAAGCATAAATATTCCTATTTAATATTTATCATAATAAATAATTAAGTTGTATCTTTTAAAAAAATAATTAATTTATTTGCTATTATTAAAAACAATTTTTGCCTTTCGTCAGTGAAGGAGTCTAAATTATTTTAAAATATTACATCAAGATTGTATTTTTAAATTTGCCAAATAAAATCTTATTTTGCATCAACAATCCAAATAAATGACTTGAAATATACATTTTTTCTTCCTCTAAAAAATCTAAATAATAGAAAACAGCATGCAAAACCTTAAACCCTACAAAAAGAAATTACAACTAAAATAAAATAATTTCAGTTTTTCTTACTTCCTATTTTAAAAAAAAATATATAAAAGCAAAATATATATATAAAAAAAATATACCTATCTGTAACTGGGAGATTTTTTGGGTGTCATGAAGAACTATGACAGTCTTTGAAGGAACAATCACAGAGACCTTTTGGATCCCATCTAAGGGTTTCAGAATCTTCTCAATAAGAGGAATTTCAGAAGAACAACAGAGCCCCAACACATCAAAATAGCTCTTCTGAATTTTTTTGCTCTCTTCTCCCATCTTCCTTCAGTACTGAAGCCTGAAAACAAGGAAAAATAATAATTTTTTTTCTGTCAAAAATATACAGTGAAAATCACGTGAACATGGAGGTGAAAACAGTGTGACTAAAATACATTTTGAATAAAAAAAAAACAAAATAGAAGAAAAATCAGGTTAATACTTACTTTAAAGGAAAAAAAATGTCTGAGGGGAAGAACAGCAAGAAGAGGAAGTAAAGAGAAAGAAGAAGCTTTGGTATTGTTCTACTTGTTCCTTCTATTGAGCAGACAGTAGGAGGAGTACTGATTGAAAATTTCTTCAAGTGCAAAGAAGTGTAATTTTGCTTTAAATAGTGGGATAATGGCGTATTTTAAAAAATTATTATTTTTCTATATCAGTTATATAAAATAAAAAAAAATTATTCCAAATAAAATCTTCTTACTGATTCTTAAAGCATCTTTTTAGTATAAAAACTTTAATTTTTTTGAGAAGCAGTAAGAAAGTCGCTCCAAACGAAGCCTAAATCATTAATAAATCTTAAAAATATCTTAGTAAATTTTTAATTGCAAGCCGGCATATGTAGGCTGGCCTGTAATTTATTGGATGAGAAGGGCTATTTGGCAATATTGAAAAAGGCAAAGATGCCTGTTTTGTTCTTTGGCAATAGACACTAGATACAAATAGAACATTATATTTATTCATTTTTCGCTTCAAAATATAATAATAATAATAATTTTCAAACAGTAATTTATCTTAAACAAAGTTTTATTTCTAATAAAAAAAAAAAAATTAATATTTTATGCTGTAAAATCTTTCTGATCTTATGTGAACAATACAACGTCAGTACTAAAAATTGCGCCTTTGAAGTTTTTTTGTTTTTGTTTTCATAATGCTTATATTAAAAATATTTGTAGTTCGGTTGGAGATGACTTAAATGCTAAGTAGGGTGCAATTTATCAAGACTAAGGTTTGGTTTGGGACGACTTTCTTGTTGATTCTTAAAACAATTTTTTAGTATAAAATTTTTATTTATTGTACTAAAAAGTTGCCGTAAGTAGCAGTAAGAAAGGCGTACCAAATGAAACCTACGGCTTTGTTCCGTGCTTTTATATTGCTTTTTTAAAACGGAATTTTAGTTAAAAAAATACAATTTTTTTTTACAAAAACTCCGTTTTAAGAAGCAATAAAAAAATCGTCCCAAACAAGCTTATGAAGACTTTCTTAATACTTCTTAAATCAAATTTCTAATACAAATATTCTAATTTTTGTACTAAAAAACTGCTTCAGAAACCAATTGGAAAGCCGTTCGGTAAGTTGAGAGACTAATAGATAATGAACAAAATGAAGACAGAAGAGATAAATTTCCTTTTAATAAAGAAAATATTTTCATGCAGGAGAGAGAGAGAGAAGAGAGAGAAAGTTTAGATGCAATACCTGAGAGAAGTTAGAGAGAGAAAGAGAGGGGGTGGATAGAATATAGCTCTGTAGAGTTTGTAGAAGGCAATGGGAGATTGGGAGGGGAGAGTTGAGGGTGAAGGCCGGCCTTTAAAAGGCAGAGGGAGTTAGAAGAAAGATAAAAAAAATATATATTGTTTATACAAAATCATAAAAATATTTAGTCTTTCAAACCATAAGGGTTTAGTACTACTGTCTAGTGTCTACTGCATGTATTTTAATGTCTTTATATTTCAGACCGGCCATCTTGATACTATTAAAGTATTTTTTTTATTATTAATATATATATTACTATTAAGCTGGCAATGTTTGGAAAAGCTTGTGATAAAGCCATGGTTGGAAGTGCATGATGATGCTAGTTTTTTTATTAAAGTAGTGGGGTAAGGCATAAATGGTACAAAAAAAGGTAAAGCCTCCATTTTTTAATTTTATATTGAATAAAATTCAAGTATAAATGACATTATTTTTTAATTATTTTGTGAAATAATTTAATAAATTTTAAAAAAATTAAGAAAATGGGCAAAATAACATGAGTCCCATTGGTTGTTAAGTACAATTAATGGTTTTGGAAAAAAACAGTTTGGGTGTTTAATTAGTTAAGGCATATCAAAGTTTAATTATTGATAATAAAGTCATTAATGAGTGTGTTTAGCCCTAATATAGCAATGCTAATTACAACAATCATTTTGTAAGAAGTAAAGATTAAGAGCAATAAGCTTGTTTTCATAGACTGCCAATGAACTAATAATACCCTCAAGCTTTTGAAAAGAAAACTAAGGAATTGGCCACAAATTTTTTCTCATTCATTTGGTGCTTAGAAATCATTTTGTTTTGAAGCTTCAATTATTAGTTTGAGAAAATTTATTTGGTGCTTTATCAATTGATTTTTTTCACTAATTTTATTCACGTAAGAGTTTCTAGTATTTGTCGGGCACTCTAGGAAAATCAACCTTTATCGGTGGTTTTTTCTGGCGGAACTAGACGAATTTTTGGCTGTAATGAGATTTTCCGGCGACTTTCCGGCGGATTTTTTCCCGTCAGTATAAATCGCGTAGAAAATTAAAAATGGCGGTAATCTTATTTTGAAGTTTTTATCATATTGTAGTCTTATTTTCAGGGATCAAAATTATTTTCTAATTTATTAAAATTCTCTCTTTTTTATTTACTTGATAAAAAATAACTAAAAAATACCTAAATGATTACAACTAATGTATTTATAACATACAAAAAATTATATAGTGAAAATGGGTACAAAATTATTCTCACTTTTATACTATAAAATTATAAACTTAATTCAGAAAAATCTAAAAATTATCATATTTTTAAAAGCTAAGATAGGTGAAATGTAACCTATCTTGATTTAGATAATTTTTTGAACTAGGTCGACAACAGAAAAAGAACTAGAGTCGCCAAAATCTAGCTTTATTCTCTATCTAAACATTTAGGTTTTTTAGAAAATGACTTTCAAAATAGTTTAGATATTTTTGTTTAGTCACTTTTGAATCATTCTCCTTCTCCTATTGACTTGGAAAAGGGTGTTATTACTCTAGATACATGACCTATTCAGTAATTTATCAATCTCTCAACCATTAAAGGTGTAATGCCCCATAATTTAATATTGAAGAATTATTATTTGTATCTTTTATAATATCAACAATCATAGTTATCTATTTTATTTTAATAATTAAATATCAACATAAATGAATCTATTGATCAAATCATCAATATACATTTGTATTCATACTCCAAAATTTTATACAATAGCTAAGAGTTACACAATCGCAACAAACAGTCTATCTGCTACTAACTATAAAAGAATAACTAAACAAAATAATATAAAATATGGAGGATCCTGTAATTGATCAGTCTCATACTCCCGATCATCTTCAATGACCTGAAATCATTTAAACAATATATAATGAGCTAGAAAGTCTAACATGTCACTAAATTCTACAATTGAATTCAAAACATGATAAATGAATAGTATGCATATCTTCAGTCAATTCATAGTAGTAGCAGTCAATAAGATCATGAAGTTGTGTAGAAATAGTAAACCATATATAATAGCAATAAAATCTATATAATAGTAGAACAGTACGATATGAATGCCAATAAAATAGTGTAGTGTGGAAATAGTGAATTATGTGAACTAGTTAACTAATAAACCTGAACGAGTGTCGAATCGATAAAACGGTCTTCATAGTAGTATTATTAAATCAATAAGAAAATCATATTAATCAGTAAAAAAACATCTATAAAGATTATTTTAATCATATCAATACAATAAAATCATATAAGAGTACACATAATATTCATCTATTCTATTAATATCAATAAATATCTTATATCACATGCTGAGTAATAGGAATCACGTTCTTAATAACAGTAAATCAGTAAACAGTGAATCAATCATAATAACATTAATAGTGCATCCATAATAGTATCACTAATAATATTAGTATCATTAGTAATAATATTATTATTCATAAAACTGGTGGCAATAATAATAATAATAATAATGAATGGAACATTAAAACAATACAGTGGTAGAAATATAGTAATTAACAGTAAATCAATGTAATAACATACATTCTAGTAATCACATTAAACAAGTAAAGAATTATGGTTTGTGTAGTATTTTTCTAGTATTTTGTAAATCACTAATCAATAGTTATTGGCTTAGTAAATAGAGTCGTTACTCTTTATCTGTCGAGACAGTAATAACTCCTCATAACTCTCAATCAATGAACCACTTGAATTAGTACATGATAACAACAAACCACAATATTTAAAAGAATGCCCGTCTAACTACCATCTTGTATAATTAAGTCAGTCAGTTTCCAACCAACGTTAGTAAAAATCGATATATATTTGTCCTTACACATACTATTATTATAGTATTATAACAATAATAACAATCAAATATTACTCAATCACAAGCTCATATTCATTCACAATATTTGTATTAATAATATGCTTGTGTAAAAAAAACTAAAATTATTATTCTATACAAATTGCACAAAACTCAATAACTTCTATTTTAGATGGTAAAAGAAATCAACTAGTCAAAATGTCAAGAATAATTAATATTATAATATATTAAAAGTTATGAGATAAAAATTCACGAAATTGAAAGAATATGCAATAAATTCAATTTGAAAGATCATTCTTCCTTCCCCTTCTTCCTTCCACGGCAAGCTGGCGCTCGTGGGTGAGGGGGAGAGTGAGTAGAGAGAAATGAATTTTAATATGCATATAAAGGTATTTTAGTGTGTAGCATCGCAACCCCACTACCTAGGGCCGCAGCACTGCATGTTGAATCCAAAATTACTGTAAAATAGAGCCTTTAATGCCGCAACTGCAACATTTGGCAACACTATGCTCACAGGCCCAGTGCAACGTTAACAATCTCAGCGCTGCATTAATGCTCCAGTTTAAATAAAAATTCAGATTTTTCATTTTTAAATTTATTTTCAAAATACAGGTTGTCATAAAAGATTTTCAACAATGTTCAAAGCTATATTATATTCTCCTTTTATTGATGATATAGAATTAATCCCTCTATTGCTAATACTAAAGACGATGAGTTCCTCCAAAACTAAAAATTCTTCCTTGTTGCCCCTATCAAATGTTGGGATGAGGGCAAAAATAGAAAATATGTTAAAACTTTGAGCCATTTTGAAAGCTCCTCAAAGTATTTATCTAATACTCATATTTTTATTTTCTTATATAACTTGTATTTTCTTTCTTGTTCCACGCCATTTGTTGTCATTTATTTTATTTTGAAGTGAGAATTATTTTTCAGTAATGAGTTTACATTTTTCTTGTTCATATATATATATATATATATATATATATATATATATTATATATTATATTGATTTT